AGTTAGTATTTATTGTTCACTTTTACCAAAAATGAACCAATTTTAATTTTTGGTTCATAAGTTAGATAACTAAAGTGTACTTTCTGCATTTCTTATATACAAAATAAAGAAAAGGAAAATTTACAAGTACTGATTTTTCTAATTCTATATATCTGTAGCATATATCTGTCCTTAATGATTATTTTGTAAGCATAGTTTAGATTTGGCACAAGGCTGAAAGTATGGGGCACCTAGTGAGGATCGAACCCACTTTTCAGTCATAACTGATTTAGTGAGACAAGTTTGCTAGCCATTACACCACACAAGGTGCCCAATATCTGTCCTTGATGTGGTACCAATTTTTGGAAATTTAGGTGTGACTCATGGAGTGAAAATTCCTTAATATGTTTAGCAAACAAGTTTGTATGATATCTGATAAAAGAAACAAAATTTCTCTAAAATTTAATTTCATTGGCAAAATTTTTGGCTCTATAGCAAGAAGAATCCCAGGATGAGATTATAGTTAAAAATGTTTTTAAAAAATAATAAGGGAATCCCATTCCTATGTGTTTCCACAGCACTACACCACTAATAGCAACAAAAGTAATAATTTTTATACCTATTCATTTATTTCCTAAAAATGCATAAATATCTAATTTTGTAATGTGAATATGTTTTATCTAATGTTTTAAGTGAATATTTTCTTGAAAGTAAATGATATAAAATTTACAAAGCCAAAAATTGTTACTGAAAATACACCTATTTTCAATTTGGCAACAAAAGAGGGAAAGTTTTAGGACATTCACAAGTTAATGTGATGTTAGAACTGGAGGTTTACACAAATGAAAACGGAATTTATTTAAAAGGAATAATACTAAAAAAAAAAAAAAAAAAATAATAATGATGATGATGATGATAACGTAACTTACAAAAGATTAAAACAAATTCTTTAAGAACCTGAATAAAAAATAACTTGTGCTAATTTAAATGTTTTTCAAAACAAGTTCATATATGATCAACAGGTTTGCAAAAGTTATTTGGGGAACTACTAAAAGACACTATGTCCTGCCAATGATCTAGACATAGGCCTATTCAAAATTATAATAACCAGGTTGGTACATTTTTGTATTGTTTTATACCTTATAAAATAACTTTTATTTTATCTATTTATGCTTTTATTTATCCACCCCTCTCACCGAAAGGTTAAATTTGAGACAAAGTAAAATTGAATATATTTCTAGGGTACTCATTGAAGATTGAATTCATTAGCACTGGTTTGAGAGCTGAGGTTGCTAACCATTACACCATGTAAAGTGCTTTTTCATCAATTTATTTTTACCAAATTCTAAATGTTATTGGTCATAAAGGTGAGAAAAACTGCAATAAATTTTACTTACTGAAAGTCTGTTTTTTAAATGAATCTTGTCTATTATTCAATCAAATTTTTAAGATATTAATTACTAAGCCCCTTTGCTATTAAAAATCTATATCATATTTTGATACAAAATATTATAGAAAAATTAATTTGTAAACTAGTTAAAGATGCAATCATATTTTTATTCTTAAAATTTCTGATTGATTATCAGTTTTGTTTTCTGACATATTCAAAAAGTCATTGCAGTGGTATTCTTTAATTTTGATTGGGAAAGAGGAAAAGGACAATTTTCAATCTCTCTTCTCTGGGCCCTCAATTAAGGCGTCTTTTAGAAGTTTTAGGAATATTAGTTTATCTAATGGAATTTTGACTTATTATACTCCTTATTCCAATCTTAAGGGATAAAATTTCACAGTGAAGAAATAGCATAAGAAACATTTTATTGCTTAATTTATTCATTTATTTTTTTAGAGAATCAAATGAAAAATATAGAATTCAGGATCTTTAAAGATCAAAGAAGTAGAGTTAGCTCAAATGTTTTGATACCACATCAGAGAATTAGATGGAAGTAATCAAAATCACACTAGCCTCATTTGGCTTTTAACATTAGCATCATTTATCTTCAAGTTCAAAAACATGTACTACATGTTCTTTGATTAACAATTTTACTGCTCAAGTTCGTACAAAGAGAAATGTATTGTATGTGGACCATCAAGTGCTACTAAGTACCATTACAGAGCTAAATGTGAGCAGATTATATTTAAAAAAATGCAGAAAAACAAAGAGGAATGGCTTGTCTCTACTAACAGGTCCCCAAAATCCCACTAATAGCTGGTGTTGCAACTAGTACCACCAATACTTTATGATAACCAGAGAAATTAAAAATGATGTCTTTATTACTGAAGAAACATTTCATATAATGCCTAATATTTCAAAGGCCAAACAAAATTTTTAAAATGAAAAAAACAAAACATAATTAAATAAATAATAATAATCTGGTGAGCCAGTCTACAAAATGGACATGTTCCAGGTTTTTTTTTCTATCCAGAGCTATTTCAACATTAGCAAACTGAAAGCCCTGATATTTCAAGCGCCATGGCAACATCAATTTGAAACAATTAAAGACTCCAGCAATTTACACATATAAGACAAAAATCTTGCATACATATTTCAATTCTGTTATCAATATTACTGTACTTTTGATTCAAGTGGTTTATAATGTCTGCATACCAATGGTACATTAATTTCTGTATTTCCTTTTCTGTATGTTTAGGAAAATGAGAATTGTTCCATAAGTATTATTTCTAGGTGTTCAGCCTAGAAATAATACTCCTGACTGCACTTTTTGGAGCACTTACTGCTTCCTCATTAAGTATTAAACAAACTGATATTTGCAATCAAATTGCTCTTTTTTATCTTTTGCATATAACTACACATAAGACTATTGATTTGATTGAGTATTTTTCTTTTATGTACTTTATCTCTATGTACACCAAAATACATTTTCCTTAATATATACTTTAAAAAATAGCATTACTTTTTTATTACAAATTCTTACTATTAAAGCAAATTAAAAAAAAAAAACTGTAAAAATACAAGAAAGGAAATGTAAATATTTTAAAGAGAGTTCAAAATCAATATATATATATATATATATATATATATATATATATATATATATATATATATATATATATATATATATATATATAAACATAGCATAAAAAATAGGGAAATATAACTTTAAAGTATTTTCTTGCATTTGAACCAATCCTGGAGAAAATCTTATTGTTATATGTATAGTACATGATATATAAAGAATAAATTATAATGACTGCTATGGGTACCTTGTCATTTTGTAATGGTGAGCAATCTGGTTTCAATCTTCAATGATTGTAACTTGGTAGTAGACTTGTGACAAATTAAACTAAGGTTACGTAAAATAAAAATGTCTCTCATAAATAGTTCCTTGATTGATGTTTATAATTATCAGCCAGAGTTTAAAGAAAATTTACTCTCCTTAAATGAACATAATTTTCTTGCAGTTGTTAGTAAAATTAAGTTTTGTTCTTTTACCAAAACAATGATCTGAAAAGGTAATAAAAAAAAAACAAACCCTGAAGGTTTCATTTGTAAACTGGGTGAAAAAATGTATTCTCAACACAACTGCCAACTTCTTAAAAGGTTAAAATATAGTGTAAAATATTCTGCTCACTTGTTCAAAATGCAAACAGATCTAGATGTAAGAAATTTTAAATTTGTATATAACATTATTTTTAAATTTAAATTAGTTGCTCAATCTCTCCATAGGAAAAACCTAAGTTTAATATTTAAAAAATCAGCACAATGTATTATTTAAAATAAGGTATTATTGTTTAATTTCAATATCTGTATTTATGATAATGAAATAGGTTTCTCTAACTTTCATCAGACATCTGCTAGAATTTTGAGTTGAACCAAAAATGAAAATTGTTTTGATAACTTTTGAGCATCCATAGGAGGTAAAATATTTTGAACTTTAATCATAATGAATAGACACAAATAAGAAAAAAGGGAAAAGATAGATTTTGTTATGTTCTATTGCAAGAATTATTTGAAATTAATAAAACCAATATTACCCTATCAACTAATATACATACATATGTGTGTGTGTGTGTGTGTGTGTGTGTGTGTGTGTTTTTTTTAAGCCTAGTTACCTGAGAAAAGAACAAGTTTTTAGAGGAATGCTCTTCCAACTATCCAAGGATTCTTATCAGCCTGTTTTGTAAGGGAAATGACATCCTAATGATTAGTTCTGGCTGCCATCAGGTGATGGATGACTTACAGATGGAAGCAGCAATGCCTGATGGATAGATGATGAAAACACTTTAGCTGACAGTCATAAGCATGGGGTGGCCTAGTTTCAAAAGTTGCTCACTAACATACAACTACACTAGTGATGACATGTTATTCTAACAGCAAATATACAGTCAGACCTGAAAAGCAAGATATGGCAAATATTTGTTCTGCTCTTAAATCAACAGCTATCCACAACTAATTTGAATTGATGACTGAAATGACTTACTCAATTTAAAATACTCTGGCTTTACCCTTGTGTGTATGCAGTGACACTGTCTTAAAGTTCTGCTGTCTTAGGTAAAAGGCAATACTTAAGCAAATAAAATGAAAGTAAATTCAAACAACAATCCTCTTTTTACTCTAGCTAAAAATAGTCAAATTTACGTTAATGTCAGTTTATCTTTTACAGAGCTTAATGACCAAGCTGACTTAAACAAAGTTATTTAAAGATAAAATATCCTGAAACCGATTGTGACAATTTAATTTGTCTATACTAATTCAACTTTATTAAGAACCCTAAAATTCTACAATAGTTGGAATTTGTTTTCTTATTCTGCCAGCTACAATAGATTTCATGAGAAAAAGAAAATACCTCCCTTTTTGTATTGAATCCAGTTTGGTATAAAGTGAATGGAATTGCAGGTCGAGCTAGTTGAGAGTAACATTTTTTTTTTAAACTGCAGAGTGTATCATGCACAAAACTTGCTTGCTCTCTTTCTTTTGCAGATCTGCATCTTGTTGTATCTCTGACCACCAGTGTTGAAGAACTGTACTGAATATCTAGATATATTTATGTATATAAGCTTACCTGGTCACACATCTTGCACTGGTAAGTTTTAGCAGCTTTTGTTGGTTTAACAGGTTGAGGCACCACCAAAGGGGCATTGGTGGCTGGAGTGGTTGAGCCAACATGGGCAGTCCGATAGCCTCCGTTGCTCTGAGTATTCGGACGCAAATCTTGAACCCGATTCATATTATCCTGATTAAGATTATCTGAAAATACAAAATTGATTTTGTTGTTGAGTAGAGGATTTAATACAGAATGCCATTCATAATGGATTAATATCTAAAATGCAGAAAAACCCAAATGGAATAATTTTGCAGATGTTTTTACAACATGAATTTGAAAAGATTTTAAATGTGTTTATCAACAGAATAAAACATAGTTGATAAAGAAATAATTTCATTTTATTTGAAGAGTAAACTAGATCAGAACATTAGATAGTAAGAGTAAATAAACTGAAATGAACTCAGGTAACAAAGAAAAAATCCAAGAAATCATGGAAGGCACAAAATTTTAAAATAAGTTAAGAACAGTTTTGAAAGACCAGATTTTAATAGCATTTTCCTAGTCTAAAAAATAAATTAACATGCAATAAATTTGTAATTTAAAAAATATACCATATCCCATTAAACAATAACTTAACTGTATAACTAGATTCAGTTGTCAATGATTTGTAACCACAGCCAAAGCTCTTTGCCCAAATAAAATTAATTAGCACTAGGTGATAAATATTTGCCTTTATAATACTTATGCTATAAAGAGTACTGAAAATGAATCACTTGCTGCAGTAAACATTTCTTCTTTTTCTCATTTACAGACAGTACAAATCAAGCAGCTAAAACTCTTATATTTGTTATTATTATGATATGAACTTTAATGCATCAGTCATTTGGTTTATGACTATACTTTGAGCAAAATTCCAAGAAAACAACAGCTTGCACTGATTGATTATTAATACCGATAAAAAATTAGTTGAAATATATTTAGAAAAGCAGAATTTCTTCAAAGAAATGGAGTTTAAAAAGCATAACAATGAATTCCATAGAAAAAATGATAGAAGCATAAAGGATCATCTTTCAGTTGATTATATCATTCTATTATACTCTATTATATATTTATTTCTTTTTATCTATATTAACAATATAATCAAATTGTCAGAGTTACTGTTCTATGTACTGTTGTGAATTTAAAAAAAAAAAAAAAGAAAGAAGAATTATTAATAAAGTATTGTCATTTTTTTTATTGCCTGCTACAAAGCTTGTAAATGTTAAATATTTAACTGGACATCTCATCTAAAGAGAAACAAAAGTTGCAAGAAACAAAGCTTTTGCTTTTTAATTGCTAACTGTGACTTCAATGTTTATGTAAAAGGAAAAAAAAAACAGTATGTCAACTGATTTATAATCTCAAATTCAGCAAAATGTACACTTAAGATTTTTAATGGTTCAATAATATTTATGAATTATTTAGTAATTAACTAATTGTGATTATGAAGTTGAACTATAAGTGGAATATTGACATAAAGCAGACCTCTCCCAATCAAAAGTTGCAAAGCATGCATTTTTTTTTCTACAGGCAAAGACAGAGAGAATTCGCATTGAAATACTTTTTTCTTCAAAAATATAACATTGTTTCTTTATAAAGTTGAGATTATTAATTTGTGATGTTCATAAAGTTAACCCCAGTCATAAACAGTGACCTCTTTTTATGCATACTAGAACTCATGAAATTGGTTATAGAAATAATTTCAAGTAATCAGAACAAAGGAACTAATCAAATATGATGTCAATATTTGGTTCAAATAACAGCCAGGTATAAATCCTGTCAGCAGAATTAAATTGGAGCAAAAGCTAGGAAAAAGAAAATCTCAAAAGATTAAATACTATCCAATTTATTTATATTGTCAATTTGAGCGTATCTGAGGAAAGGAATTACGAAGCTTTCCTATTTAAATGCTGTTATTATTATGACAACAATTTCACATGCAGTTTCAACCAACCAGGATCTGTGGTCATGGTTGATAGTGTCAGAAGCAAGGCTCTAGGGATGGCATAAAAACTTAAGTCATTTCCTAATTTAATTATGTCTAATGGCCTACAGCTGTTTGGAGGAGTATACAGAGAGCAAGCAACCAGACTGCCAAGTTGTTGTGTAGGGCTGATAGGCAAGTGAGGTGATCTAGATAATGTGAGGGGAAGGTTATGACATTGTGTTTATTGCAGTTAGGTTAATGGCTAGCCAACAGCTGGCTGCTGCTGCATACTTGGAAAAGAAATAGAGGCGGGGTAGAGTGATGTTGCTGACACAACATCACCTCAGACAACTCTATTGCCAACAGGGGTGGTAGACTGAACATTCCAACTTATTGGGTGATAGAAGATAATATGCGGACACACCCATCCATCCACATACACACATCAAGGAATGGACAGAGAGAGAGAGAGAGAGAAAAGAAGGAAAATATTGTGGTGCTATGCAAGAATTTAGCAGCAGAAAAGACCTGTTGGAGATAGAACTTAAATGGCTGCTACCCACCCACAATCAAATATAGTAACCAATCAAATCACTGAATATGTCTTTCTGACACAAAAGACTACACTGAAGCAGAATCTGTTCATTCAACAGGCAAAGGTAGATAGGGTCTCAACTGAGATTATGTAAAAGAAATCAAAACAATTCACTTGTGTATGAAAAGGATGAAAATATGGAACTAAATTACAGTGGAGATGTTCTATAAAATATTGAAATGAGAGAGACTCTATAAATGTCACTAATATTCGGACATCAATGGTAATATACAAAGTCAAACATTTTGAAATTTAAAAAAAAAAACAAAACAACGAATAGACTCAGAATGGTATAACATTTTAGAGGTGATTAATATACCATAAAACATTTTTGTAATTTGCATTAATTTAAAGTCATTGATACAAAAATATATTGCTTATTTAGTAAACAAACAAATACAGTTTTATGAATTAAAGATAATGAATTTAGTTATACACCTTTCCTGATAAGATTTTTGTTACTATAAATGAAATTGTACAATAAGAAAATAAATATATTTCATCATTTTCTGCATGATTTCTTTACAAAATCTCTAACTGATAACAAATTCAATTCAAATATAGAAAACAGTTACAATTTTCTCAAATTTATAAATGTAAATAGAGAAATTTATCATGTTTGCATTTGAAAGTATCTTGCCTTAATTAACAATGAGTAAATAAGTATAAAGGCAAAAAGGGATTAGAAGATTAATACAATATTGTTTGTAATAACGTAAAAAAAATCTCTACTAGAGTAGAGATTTTTCTCTTATTTGTTAGGGATGGCATAGTATACACTGATAACAAAATATTAAACACTCAGCAGTAAAGTTCATTTGTGTACAATTGTAATTTTCACAATGTCAGTTTGGGCAGGTAACAGTCATCATATCAATATACATGATAAACATAAAAATCATCAGAATAAAATAGTCAATTTTGAAAAGAAATGAAACAAATATTATGACTGTTGCAAAATGAGCTAATCCAAGCAATCAGATATATACTAAATTTCAGGTATACGATTCTTATCACTTATAACTAATACAGCATTAGTGAGAGAAAACAGGGTTTTTTTTTTTATAAGGATAGAGAAATTTGACCGAATATCAGAGAAAGAAGTTTGAATTCATTTTTAAAATAAAGTGGTATATTTTGATTACATTAAATGTTTCAGTTGCATAATACGACACCCAAAATATCCACTAAGTATCAAAATGATAGAGGAAATAAAATAGAACTTTTTTAAGAATCCAGCAATGAAAGTTGGTTAATGTGCAAATAATGAGAATGCATAGAATTACTAAAAGGGAATGCATTTATTAAAAGTATATTACATTACAAAAGCATTTCAATTTTAAAAAGCTAGTATTAAAGTACAATGATTTGTAAATATTGAGCATATCAGCAAATAAAAAAAAATAAGTGATTTGATTTGAAAATCTCAAAATAAAAAAGCCAAAATATATGATCCATTCTCATAGCCTCCATCATTTTAAGTTAATATTTTATCACATAAAGTAAAATAGTATATATATATATATATATATATATATATATATATATATATATACACACACACACAATATAAATAACCTTAGTTGCTCATGACCTGCAGGAAAGTACTTTACAAGCTACATTCATTAACAGCAAGAATTTTGTCATTTTCTAAAAAGATTATTTTCAACTTGAATTGTTTTGTAAAGTTACTTCAGCTTCTTTTGAGTAATAAATGACCAATTTTCTTGTTTAACTGATGTAATTAAGCATTCTTCCTTAAAGACAAGAGTAGAAAAATGTATTCTTTAATGAAATGACCTTATTCCATAGTAACTGGAAATAACTCTGCAAATGATCATTGACCATACAGAGTCAGTGGATTTATAACATTTATGTAAAAGTATGTGATCAAACTGTACATATCAATCTTTTTTTATATTAGTAAGAGATAATATCTATATAGTGCAGCAACAAGAGTCAAAAATTTAACCCAGTTTTGGGAGGAGTTAGCATGGGTATAGTGTAGTAGCAGTAGTCCAATGCCTGGCAGTTTTGAAAAGAAACTTAACTTTAATTTTTTGGCAGTTGAATCAAAACAGCTATTGTTGTCCAGACCATTATAAATAGCTAACATTTGCTAAAATCCACTAGTAAAATGGGTGAATGCTTAGGACTAGAGGCAGAAGGTAGTAGTAGTCAAAAGGCACAATTCCTACTGGAACAACTTTATAATACAATGGCAAATAGGTATCTTCTTATATAGGTTAAGTGTGATTAGTTTTGTTTTCCTTGAGGACTGAACTGTTAAGACTTTTTATGATAGTCAAAAATCGTTGTACAATAAGGTTAACAAAGAACTTATCTCTGTTCTGATTTATTCTCAGTCTTATTAACTTTGTAATCTCTTTATTCTTAAATAGAGTTTTGGTTTTAAACCTCAATTCCATTATCATATTTTGTTTTGGTTCTCTCACTTACTGATTTAACAACAGCTCACTTTAACCAAACCTTCATATTTATGTTCTGCTACACATGGCAATATTCTTGTGGCATACAAATCATCGTGAAAGCATTGAAGAAACTATAGAATTTTACTTTCTTGCAAAAAGTCTTGAGAATATTATTATTTGAGTGACTAATGCTAAGCAATATAAATAAAAAGGAATATGTAGCAACAAAATGTTTTGTGGTTTGTGAAGCATATTGAAAATAAGTTGGAAATTATATCACTTCAAGTGGAAATAGGACAAGGTTGATAATAATCTGATACTGAACATTCATTACTAAACACAACATTTAAGGACAGTAATATTTTGTTTCTTGATATTGTTTAATAAAATAGTAAACAGGCATCGATTGACTTAGGCCACATAAACACAACTCTGAAAGAAATGAGATAACTACAAAAGTGGGTTCAGACATAATATTACAATGAAACAACAAACACAAATTTATTTCAAGTCAATACAGCATGCCTCATAATAGATACATTATTACAAAAGGATACCACCCAGAAAAGTTGCATACTAAATTAATTCAACATTTCTTAGTGCTTTGTAGTTAATCAAATAGTTGATTATTAAAAAATAATAAAATGTAATTTATCTTATAAGCAAAGCAATACAGCAATTACAGAATGTAGAAAAACAATACAAATATACATTATAAAGTATAAATAAATATTATATATATATATATATATATATATATATATATATATAAAAGAGAGGAAAATTATGTTCTTCTGGGAGTAACATTTTGATAGTACACTGGTTGTTCAATTTCTGATGACTAGTTATTTAAACAAGAAGGAATTTGTGCTTATAAGATAAACATTTTTTTTCAATCAACTGTTGGCTTTTGATGACAAGCAAAAGTTCATTCCAGTGATGAGCTGAAATGATCTAATACTCCTAGCAGCTAAAACAGTTTGCACAACACAACGTCTCAGATGATTTTGTATTATTAATGTATGAAATTAGAAGGTTTTATTTCAAACACTTACATTTGGTTCCGCTCATGAGATATGATTGGTCTACAAGAACAGAATAAGAAACCTCAGACCTAATGCTATAAACATGTATATTGTTGGGATCATTCTAAAATCAATTTATGGTAATCTGAAGACAAGTATAGAGTTTACTTAAAATCCAGTTCTTGACTGTTACAAATACAAAAATAACAACATTCGTTTTTTTGTTCATGAAAATAAGCTTCTTAATATTTCTCCATATTTATATAAAGAAATATGCTGACATTTAAGCTCACAAAACTCCCAGACAAACAAAGATGAGCTTGAAACTGCAGACATCAGGAGGCATAAAAAAACAAAAAAACAAAATACACACACACACACAAGATAGCATACAGGTGTTCCAGGAATTTAGTTTCAAGTCATGAGCTTTTTAACGGAAAATCAAACTTTAATTGCTTTATTCCCCCACCCACCAAAAAGTAACCTAAGCAATCAAGCAGCCATGACTTGTACAAATAGAATTAGGAATAAATGAGAATTGAAGACATACAGAAAAAATGCTGAATTAAACAAGTGCTTTTAAATACATTGGGCCAAATACTTACAAGGAAGAAAAGTTGGGGGGGGGGGGAAAGAAAACAAAAAATATAGAGAAGTATCATATAATTTCTAAAAAGAAAAAAAAACAAAACAAAAAACGTATGTATCTTTCATTCCAAGCATAAATTGAATATTTTTCAGATAAATCATAGCAGATTTGTTTCACTGAAAACACAGGTAAACAAGGAAATACTTATTTAACATTCACCAATAATCAAAGAAAAATTAAAGACAAGCAGTGGCAGTAACAGCTAAAGATCTTCATTTAGAGGAGAGAAAAAAAAAAAAAATAAACATAAAAAAAAACATCTTCTATGATTGTTATCAAAGCAAGTTATTCCTACATATAATTTTAATTTTCTCTTTCTCAGCTTTTCTTATATTGACTAACTACTTAAAGAAATAAGCATGTGTGCAGAGTCAGTAATTGAATCTAATAATATTTCTACTGGGTGGCTTGGGAAATTGGATCCATCTACAGACATCACAAACAACTAAAAGAAAAACAAACCAACAAACCATGCATTCTTTTCATAGGCAACTGTATTATCTATAATCAGTGTACAATGAAATATGGAAGATAAGCAGAAGACACCAATATGCAGTCACTGTCCAATATTTATTGAAAGTTGACTAACTAAAAAAATCTGGTGTTCTGAATTAATCATACTAAAACAATCAATGAATACTAAAGTTGAAAAAGTTGTATTCTTTTTCATTATATATATATATATATATATATATATATATATGAGATAGAGAAAGAAGTTATTTAATAAGAGTAAAAGAAACATTTCCTATAATTTAAAGAAGATGAAAGGCTTTGAAATCAATTGAAAATAAATTTTCCATTTCGATCTCAACACTAAAATTAATTATGAACAATGCTGAGTGACCAAACTACCAAAGTGTGCAATGTCCTCAGTCAGTCAACCAACATACTGATTAATTCCTATCCCATTTATTCAACTTGTATATCTCCTCAAATGCTAAAGAAACTGAATTGAAATAAAATTGTTAGGAAGAAGACAAGACTTAAGAACTGAAAAGTGGTCAGCTTATAAAAAGGACTACATAGAATAAGTATTTTAGCATTGTCCACTTACCTTCATATGCACCTAAGTGATCATCTATTTGACCAGCACATGCTTTCCTCCACAGAGGCTTGTAGGAATGATATGTCTGTATGTCTAATGGGAGAAAATGCAGTTGTATAGGGAAAGGAAGTGAAAGGCTGACATAATATTGTACAATTCATAAGAAAACCAGCAATTAGAGACAGACCGAAAAGTAACAAACTAAAATTAACAATTTAAAGATATATACAGATATATATTAATGGCTTCCATAATAATAATAATAATAATAATAATAATAATAATAATAATAACAACAACAGTTAACATTTTAATGAGATGACACTTGACTTGTGGTAAATATTATTATTTACATTTTATAGTCATATTAAAAACAAAATATCACAGTACTATATATATATATATATATAAAAACATTGTTTAAAGTTTGCTACCAAATCAATGTAATTGTCACAAAGAATCACAGATTTCTGGGAATGTTGAGAGAAAAAAAAAAGAAGGACATCAATAATTTTCTCTAATGTTCATCAGGAAGACAAGATATTTAATTAGATGAAAAAACAGGGATGGAGAATTTGTTCTCTGTTTGGAAGCCAGTTTTAGCAAATTATTTTTAAAAATTGCTTACTGCCTCAACGTTCATCCCTAAAGGTGGCTATTTGGGATGAACTTTGGGTTTGAAATGTGAACTGATCAAATCACTGTTAGTAAACTGACAAAAATGTCAAAATGATTTAGCCCCATAAAGACTTGAGTGTCAAAAATGATTGTGAACATATCAACTTAATGACTACATGAAGCATCCATGCTGGAGACTGAATAAAACAAATTATAGTTAAGAAGATCATAAGGGCAAGAAAAAGATTAAAGCTTTATAGTAAAATTTCAGATTATAATTATAAGCAAATATGAATGCAGGACATTTTCATATTTTGATGCTTTATAGTTTTACAGAAATAGAAAAACTTATTGTCAGGTTTTCCATGTTTTTAACTGCTTGATTTGAGAAAAATAGATATATTTAATACAAATTATTTTTTAGCCATTTGTTGACTTGTAACTAAATGTAATTACACAAGAGAAAATATCTAAAAGAAGGATGCACGGCTTGTTGTTCCTCTTTATGTTCCTGGCAGAGGTACAAAAACTAAAATCGAATATTTAAGTCAAACTTATAGTCTTGATCTAAACACACATTTAAATAAATAAATGCTGATTTGTACAAAATAATATCCAAGGGTGAAAAGAGATGTATGAGAAAGCAATAATAATTTTATTAAAGAAGAAGAGAAAAAAAAAAAAAAAAAAAACTATAAATTGTTCCATCCATAATTGAACAAACATATAATTACTTTGATATGGAAATATTTAAAGCAATCTGAAAACATAGTTAATGCTATTTCAAGGTCAACAATAATAACAACAACAAAAACAATTGTATCTGGGGCTTTCCATTTCAAAAAATAGTATTGTAATAGGAGAGCTACCTTTGTGAATAGTGAATATGTGCAATGAAACATTTTGAGGCCCACTAAATTCGTTTTATTGATTCAGTTTTGATACAATGATACTTAATTTTTGGAATTAGGAAAATTTTTTTAGATCAATTTCTGTTAAAAATCAAATATTTTAGTTATTATCCTTGTTATTGTAATCAAAGGTTAATAAATCAATCAAGAAATCCAAAAATTACCATTTAGTTACATAAAAAAGCCACAAGGATTTTTTAACAAATCACTATTTTCTAGCATTACTAAACATTTCTTGGCATTTTTGTTCTTAAAAGAAATAACAGTTTAATCAAAGTAACATGTTTTGGAATATACTAATCACTAAATAAAGAGACAATAAGCTATTAAAATTGATGTTAGACAAACCAAAAAAGGCATAAAATATCAGAAAGTAAATTCTTTTTTTTTTTAAATCACATACTTAATGGATCTAACACTATAAAACTATTGAATGATAGCATTAGTAAAAGTAATTTCATTCTTTCAATTGTCAACTTCAAATCGTAAGCATAAAAGGCACGATTCTTTGCTCAACAATGCACTTAGCATTTGAATGGTATCTTACATTGCACGTGTATTTTATTCAGTTCAGATTTTGTAAACAAAAATTTACAAAGTGAATTATTGTGAAATAATATAAATTATTTTATATTAATTATTAATTTATTTGGCTAACTTATATTGAGATAAATAATATTATGCAACAGCTCTGTCAAATATAAGGAAAGTGATTAATTTCTATTTCTATTTTCTATAAGTCTGAGCTAACAGACTAAACAAGATATTTTGGAGAATTAAAATACTGATTTACAGAAGCATACATCAAAGGATGGTGAAGGAATAAAAGTTATTCAATGCTTGAATATAAGGAAATGCTAATCAAAGAGATCAGCACATAAAGACTGATGCCATGAAAGAGAAAATCAAACAGCTGACATAATTATATGTATTTCACTCATAACATACAATGTAATGCATAACAACTCACACATACACTATATATATATATATATATATATATATATATATATATATAACATTTGGTACAATCAGATTGTACAGGAGTCTGAAAGCTAATTATAAGAGTTGTGTGCATGTATAAAGAACTATGTTAAAATAGGATGATAATAAATATATTAATGATCTTGAACAAAAATTGAGAATGGTTCTATTTTTATTTATACATATTTAAAGTGAATGTCATCAAGAAAAAGGATTTATTGTTTTTTCAGAGAAATGCAACTGAAATTCTCTCAATTTTGTCAGCCTACCCTAATGATTTTGGATTAATATGATGCAGAGCAAGGAAGTCCTATGAAATTGGTAAAACTTCAGCATAACTAAACTTGTGCAATATGATCAAAAATAAAAGAAAAATTTATTGTATGAATTCATAAAGGGTTTCATAAAAAATATGTTGGTATAATTTCAAAAGGAGTGTATATATATATATATATATATATATATATATGACAACTGTACATACAATCTTCATCAATTTTCCTGCTATTTTTATGCAAGTTATAAATAGTATATTTATTTTTGTGGAATTTTATTAGTATAGAAATGGATTATGCTTGCCACATTGAGAGTCATGCACATACATGTTAAGCAAACTTGATTTTTTTTTTCTGAAAGAATGGATTTAGAAATTCCCCTAACCTCAATCCAGCCAAGAATCTTGGAGTCATCATGAAGGAACATGTTGAAACTATCCTGTTGCCCACCTCCCATATCCCATCAAAAAAGATGGCATTCTTGACAGCATTTGACATAAATGATTGGTAAAGTTTTTGATGAATTCAAATGTGAATAAAAAAAAAAATCTTGAATTTTATAATGGCTTCTGGTTTGAAATCAATTAAAAATCTCACAGTATGATGACTTAAAAAAACATGTCAGTTTTATCATAAAACATCTTTTAGTAATACTAAAAAATCTTGGTAAACCTAGTGTATTCTTTCATAGGGTGAACCGTAAAATACAAAATACTAGTTAGCACCTTTACTGATTACAGATGACTTATTATCTTTAAGAAGAATTATCATTTGGTATAATACATGCGCGAAAGTATTAAGAATGCAACATTAACACTTAGTGTATTTTATACATTTTCGCAATGGAAAAAAAGATTGACTGGGTTTATATATTCTCTGTGCAATGTTATATAGATTTGGTCATGAACCAAAAAACATATAAGGGTATAATCAAAATTTTAAGTTGTGTATGTAAATGCTTACTGTATTCTAGAGGCTAGTTAATAGACTGTAGAGTACATACATAAAGAATAAATTTTATGTCTTATCCATGAGAATTGAAGAAAAGCTGCCGGAAGAGTTTATGTAATAAATAAATATTCTACTTGATAGAAACTTACCGACCTTTCAAAAGAAAATGAAAAATCTCAAAAGAATCCAGAAACTTTATAGAACAAAAATATAAAACCAAGTTCAGAAAAACTGAAAAGAAAGAAAATCAAAATATCAACTGATTAAAAAATTAAATAAAAAATGAGAAATATATTTTTACAAAGAAATTAGAATCTCTACATTATTATTGAAGTAAAACGTTTTATCCAATTTTTTTTTAGTCTAATTTTTTGCAATTATTTTTTTAGCTGAGTTCTTAATCCTGATATAAACAGTGACATCTAAAGATTAGAAAACTGAGTAGTTCAAAATGAATATGAAAACATAATGTAGAGCTATGTATGTACTAGATGGCCATTTAATTACAACCTATTTTCAAATAGGAGCAACCATAACATTGAACAGTTGCTTTAGATAAAAAATATTTACAATTGAAATGGTTGTGCCTAAAGGTAGTCAAAAATGTTGTTGGGAAATAGCAGTTGTTTAATATTTGTATGCAATTATGTCCTTAGTATATCAACAAAATGATGGCTATTTGTCAAGTCTAAAGAACTGACAACAGACATTTGATGTGTTTAGTTTATTCTAAGCAGTGGGAAGTAGAACATACTGCAAGGATAGTTTTTTGAGCCAAAGACAAAGTGAATAGGGCAAACCAAGTTAATTTGGGGGTGAGGAGGGGCTTTAGGAGCAAATTCAGTGAAAGATGGGAAGTGTTTCATTTTCTTCCTTTCTCACACATACATACAGAAAGTGCAGTGGACTTTGTAAATGGATTTAATAGTATACCAATTAAAAAAAAAGATTAAAAAGATTTAAGTAATATTACAATTACATTGAATATTGAAAGAGCTGATTACCTATTTATCTATGATATTATATCACTTGAAAATTCAATATAAGGGATCATTTCAAAATATATAAAACAGTTATGATCTCTTATTCCAATAATTTTAAAATAAGACAAAATTCTTGTCCAAGCAGAGAAACATCACTTGCACTGAATTCTAATCATTCATGCTTCTGATATCCTGTTTTTAATTTTATATTACAAAAGTACTATGTTGATCTAATAACAAATAAAACAATGTATAAACTTATTAGAAAAGTTATGTACAAACAAAATGTAAAATTATAGCAAAATCTTGAATGAGCTTATGAAAAGTAGTTTTATTTGTTTTTAAAGAAATGAACTTATAAAATTATTTCA